ACAATGGGTGATGCAATAGCAGAGCAGTTATGCCGGCTGTTGAATTTTGCTTCCCTGCAGTCATGAAAATTGCATTGACTCCCAGGCGTGAAAAATGCATTTCCTTCCTTCTGAATGACGAAGTCAGCTAGCAGCACCATATGGTTGTTTCCAAAGCTTCTGATCGTCTCCTCCTCATCATTTTGAACGTTTAGCAAGCACGTACAAAAGAATCTGATCTTTGGGTTTAGATGGAGAAAGCGTCGAAGCAGATATACAAGATGCTAAGGACAGCGTTGCCTAGAGCGGCCTCACCGATCGCCTTTCAGGTCAGTCCACCACGCACGCCGCCACGCAGTCCTCCATACATCCCTCGCAAACCATCTCCAACAACTGTTTCCTTAGTCCCCAAGGAGGCTCGAAGGAAGTCCAAGAATGAGAGCCTGGATGCAGCAGAGCCGACCTCACCTAAAGTTTCATGCATGGGACAAATTAAGGGACTTAAAAGGAAGCAAAAGAAGAAGCTGGTGAACAAATCTCCACCAACACCAGAATCAGTTTCATCGAGTCATGAAGAAGTGAAGAGAAAGCCAAATTTATTATCCATCCTGTTTTTCAAGGGTAATAAAAAATTCGCGGAGAAAGTTAGTGCTACTGAGGACATTTCATCGGGGAATACTAGGACAACGCCTTCTTTAGGAGAAATTAAACAATTTGCCAGTGGTCGTGGTGTGTTGTCGGATTTTGTTTTTGATGAGGAAATGATGGTATCAGTTTGTGTGGATAACCCTTTATATGAAGAAAAAGAGGAGACAGTGGTTCCTAAAGCAGAAATAACTGAAGGGTGAAATCATCAAACGTCTGTAAAGGTAAGAGAAAGTCTTGTAAATTTTATTATCTCAATTTATATTTTTAAAATGTTAACATTTTTCATTTTTGCAAAGAAAACATGGAATAGTTAAGGAATCAATTGAAAGTTGGATTAAGCCACGCTCAACTTGTTTTATTAATTTCAATTATCATTTTTTTTATTGGTTGCACAATAAAAAAGATTTTTTTTTTTTTTTTTGTATTTCTAAATCTCTTAATCTATTCCCGCCCATGTGGATTACCATTCAGCTTCTTTGGCATGCTTATGAGTTTCTTAAAGTTGAAATTATATAAACTTTTACATCTACTTGATTTGCCCTTGTCATGATGATGAATTTGTGGAAAATACAATCTTAATGCTACCAATTACTATTCTAGTAATAATTTCCTCAACTGAAAGTTTTGAGCCATGGTATGGAGAAGAGATTACATGCATATTCAAAATTTTCAATTCATTAAAAAGTAAAAGCATTGATGAATCGAACCTTCGAACCAATGATTCATTTTCAATCTTTAAGTGTTTGGTTGTAATTAATCGAGAATTCAACTCTTTTTAATGATTTGAAAAAAAATCTCCTTCCTTCAAATTCTCCCATATTAAAAAATAAATAAATAAATAAATAAGGTAAAGCATTGATGCAAAATGAAATTAAAGAAATGAAGAAAGCCCATAAGTAGGGAGACCAAATTAATATCATATAAGGTATTCAAGAGGGTGTTTGGCAAATCTTACAAAATATTTATTTAAATAATAAATTTTTTTCATAAATTTAAAATCATGTTAGAAAAAAATTCAAAGATTAGTTTTTAAAAGTGCCTTTAAGTAAGTTT